GCCACCTTGCCCTTCCAAAGCAGTCATTTGTAACGTGGCTGGGGATCGTCGATGCGAGATGTTGTGGTTGCAGTGACCATAGCCTAGAGTGCCTTGGTAGCGTTAAGGGGGCTTGGACATCACAGCCTGATTCTCGAAGCGGAGGGAATCGCTCCAAAACGGAAAATAAATACATCGTATTCCTCTTTGTACCCGCATTTGGTGTCGGTAGTTGAGAGGTATCTATCTTCCGGCCGCGCCCCTTCAAGCTTCGCTGGAAGGTTTTCTTTCTCTCAACCATGTCTCGAATCTTCCGCAACTTCGTTGAAGTCTCTGAATTGGTCGCCATGCGCTTCGCGACCTGGGCGAGAGGAACCATTCCTCAATGCCGCTGGAGGAGAAGCGCCCTCGCCTTTGCCGCCGCTGCCTTCGTCACTTTCATCATCAATCTTTCCTTCGTCTTCTGGGCCATAAATCATACGAGTGAGACTATGCCACCCGATATTGGAGTCATAGCAAACGGCAGTTGCCAGAGCATTAAGAGCTTCAATACTGGAATTCATGTCGTTATTAACGTCGTCAGTACCATCTTGCTGGCGGGAAGCAACTACTGCATGCAGGCTTTGATCGCACCAACTCGGTCCGAGATAGACAGCGCGCACGCGAGACGGACATGGCTGGATATCGGTATCCCAAGCATTCGGAACTTCTCGAGTATTGCTACGAAGAGAAAAATATTGTGGCTTCTTTTGGCAACGTCCTCGTTTCCACTGCATTTAGGGTATATTATCTTCGATCCAATGATGTAACCATGTTAATCTAATTACTCTGCAGCTTCAACTCGATCATATTCACCTCAACTTCCACAAATTCCTACCGCATTTGGGTGAAAAGTCAAGACACTTTCATCCGGCAAAATCTAACTGCAATCCCTCGTGTCTTTCCAAAAGAACTTCCGAAAGAATTTCTTTTAGAACCAGAACATAACGAGGGGCGGTTTATTACCTCGATTACCGCACTTGCCGCGATGAGTACGAACCTACGTTTCAGTCTTTGCGAGGTGACCTCGTGGTATTTACAACCAGCGAGACAGCCCCTATTGCTACAGACAGTGCGGAATCCATCACCGAAAAAACGAATCCATTTGACTGGGTGTGCTTGCAATACGCAACGAATGAGTGCGAAGAGCAACTTCCGGGTTTCGACGACTATGGCGACAGGTTACTGCAGTATGATATTCGCGGTTGCTACAACCAGCAAGCGAAAGAGCATTGCAAGCTACTTTTCAGTCGTAGCCTCTGTTGGACTGTGACTATTCTCAACCTGATCAAAGCTATCATGATGCTTTTTGTCGCATATGGAAGCAGCGAAACACCCATTTTGACTATAGGCGACGCTATAGAGTCCTTTCTTATGGAAGAAGATCATTCTACGAGGGCAGTGGGTCTCATATCTATGGCGAGTATGGAAGATCAAGGGAAAATTCGTGCTATGAAAGACCAAGAAGGGTTTCCAAGCCGAACAAAGTTTCGCTTCAAACGAAAACGTAAATTCGCTGCTGCGGGCTATTATCGATGGGTAGTATCTACAGCAGTGTAAGACTTTTCCCCTCCAGACACCCTCGCATATGACACCGGGTCGCTGATAAGAGCCAGATATCTTTTTCTCCTCGACGGCTACCTCTTTTGGGTATTATGGTCGATGTGCAGCCTCAGCAAAATCGCTCAGTATGGGCTCGGGAAAGTCCATACTGACACAATTCTGGACAGGAACAGCAAGACTAGCGACACCCTCTTCGCCAATGTCCTACTTGCAAACACGCCACAAACCGTCATGTCGCTGGTCTATTTCAACTTCAACGCTCTTTTTACAAGCATATCGCTGATTACCGAGTGGGACAGGTTTGGGAAAGAGCAAAAGGGTCTGAGAGTATCTTCTAACCGGCAAGGTGACCAGCGGCAGGCATACTTCCTACAACTTCCTTATCGATACTCCCTTCCACTCGCTGTATTCTCTGGTGCCATGCATTGGCTTATCTCTCAGAGCCTGTTTCTGGTGAATATAGAGATCTGGAATTCTCACGATACGAAAATCGACAGTGTTACGTCCTGTGGGTGGTCACCACTAGGCATCATATGTGTGGTTGTGACCGGTACGATCATGGTCGTGACCGGTACGATCATGGTCGTGTTTCTTCTCGCAACAGGATTTCGGCATTTGCGTTATGGTGGGATTCCTGTAGCCGTCAGTTGCAGCGCTGCAATATCTGCGGCTTGCCACCCAGCACCGGATGAAGAGCCACAAATGTGGAAAAGGGCATTGCACTGGGGTGTTGTGTCTGAACCTGATTCTGAATCTCCGCACTGCTCTTTCTCAAGCAGAGAGATCGAGGCCCCCATTGAGGGGATGAAATACGAATGAGATCAGACAGTTGGATGAGAAGTTCATGCGGCTAATAAAGGTGTTCATTGGAAACACGGAAAGTATTTGGATTGAGTCTGCTTGAGGGGCTGATACAACATATTGCATGGTCTGCCGTGAATGGCGATCAGGATGGAATTTTTGTTTTTGCTGCATCTTGGGATATCAGACACCCTATACATCTTGGTATTTCCCAAAACATTAATTAATCTCTGATAGATATAATTCTCAGGCCACTGGGGTGTGCGTTCATGAGTTCATGAGTGAGCTGGCATTGATGCGGACTGTGGTTAATGACCTCACAGCCACCTTTGAACAGCAACTTGAGTGCCCAGTAGTAAAATGGAAGGCAGTGGACCAATGTCCGCAGTCACTCCACTATGCCATACTTTGAGGCCTACAGTATATATCCTATACTCTCAACTCTTCGAAACAGATTATCAACTGGGTTTATTCTTCTGAGGAAAGAGTAAAGACTGCCAAGACTAGAAACTTGGGGACCACCGAAAGTACTTGAGGACGAGAGTGGAGATTGCCACAGGAGAACTGGGTTAACTCGTGTTGACGTGAGTTCCGGGGCATGTCTCCGCAGCAGATGGCGAGCCTTCGTCGCCTTTCCAGGTTCCCGACTCCTCAGCTAAACTTCTCGACTGGTGAGATCAGCGCATTGGTCAATGCTTCTATCTGGATTCTATCCAATAATAGCAACCCAGCGGGTTTCATCTGATCGTAACGCAAGGTTTCAATGTCGAATCGGATCATATTGGCAACTGCATTATCAAACTTCACATTTCAAGCCTGTGATGAGTAGCTTGTCTTCATCTCAAGCGTATGTAGCGACACCAACTCTTCATCGCTACATGTGCTAGGCGTGCCGAGCTGGGGGCTGTCGCTTATCGCTTGTGATAACTGTTTTTGTCCTAGAGCCTGTCCACATCTCCTCCCGTCTCTCCACCTTTGCGGCTCGGATTTCGGTTCCCGAGAAGGGAAGTCTTTACAACAATTAACCCAGTACACTGCGGGTTTACCACATCAACTGCCCCATCCGGATAACTAATTGTAATATAACTCTTCTCGTACTTTAGGCAGCAGTTTAACATCTTCATCTTATCAATCTTTAATCTTTAGTTACCATTGATGTGGGGATATGCGATGCGAGTTGCTCGGATAGTCTCGCGATGATTTTGATTATTTGGTGTTTCCCATCTTAAACAGTCTTTTCTTCCGTCTCACTGACAACATTCTTCTGAAAAAAAAAAAAAGTTACGCTGTTTTATCATAATCTCATAAGTCAAGATGAAATGATCCAAGTGCAAGTAACAAAATCAATGAGACTTGTTGTTCGTGTTACGACCATTAACTGTGGGCTTTCGCAACCCCGGGCTAAGCCACACAAGCCGCGTGGACAGGGTTGGGTACGCTTCGTGTTATGCTACCAATCTAATCCATAATTCGAATGGCGCACATTTCTATTCAGAACTGGGACTCTTCCTGATTTGACGGACGAGGTCCGTGGTCTATTATTGATGTGATTTCTACTCCGCCTTTTTCTTCGGTTCCGTATTACATGGTTGGCGATAGACCCCACGTCGAGCGAAGAATTCCCCGAATAGGGAAGAAAAGCTCGTGTGAATACCTGGCCCAAACCTCAACTCGGAGCGATCCGAAGCAAAAAGCCTTGTAACGTTGTTGCACCCTCCACTGGACCCTTGCCACATCTGTCTCCACGGGAAAAGGACCCGAAAGGTGGCATACAAAGAGGATCCGGAAGGGGATTTACGGTTATTTGCGACTCAAAAGATAGGCGTAAATCTTTGATGTAGAGTTTCAACAGGCCGGCGATAGGGATGAACCTTCGAATTCGGCCAAAGATCCAGCCTCCACAGTGCCTGTCGCTAACATTGGCGGAATATCACGGGTCCTGAGGCCGCTGAGCTATCCCACCCAGAGCCGCTACAAAGCCTCGAAGGGCGTTGTCGTGGAGAAACGCCCGGCAGATGGCCGCGCGGAGGTCAAGAACACGAGTTCTAATTCAGGCATGGACGAATATGACATGTATCAATGTCAAGAGAATGGATCGGCATCATGGAGGCTGGGGGGACCCATCGTGATGAAGTCTTTGGCTGACGATGTGATATATAAAAGTAGAGAAAAATGCAAAGTCAACAGTTTCCAGAGTATCGACAAGAATCAAATCCACAATGCGCTCCTTTCTCGCCATGTATCAGCCGAAAATTCTTTCCTTTGTACTGTCACCCCTCTTCATCAAGACTCTTCTTGCCACCGTCATCATTCTTACTTCTATTCGTACGGTCTTTCTTTACTACGAAGTATCTATAACCACGGCACTCGAACACGCCGCCACCGCCTCACCTCTCCGACCTCCAAAAGAGACCAAGTGTCTCCCGCAGCTGTCCCCAGGCCTTGCAGAAACCCTTCAACTTCTACAGTCATCATGTCGATCTTCCCTGTACGACCCGAAATCCCACATCCGAATCACCACCGTGACGGCACAATTTGGAAATATCCGAGAACACTACCAGAACGCCTTACAGTCTCACGTCCTACATACCACGCTTCATGGCAACGGGCTCGAAGTCATGTGTACACCTGTCGTTGACGACCTGTGGAACAAGCCAGCCTATATACTGTCTCTCCTACTTGATGAGATGCTTAAGCCACAAAACGAACGGACGGAATGGCTCTTCTGGGTCGACCGCGACACGATCATCCTAGACCAATGCCGTCCGATATCGAGCTTCCTCCCACCCCGAGTACGTAACCGAGTTGCTGCCAGCACAAAGGCCCACGGAGAAGCCCCCAGGGACGAAGATGTACACCTCGTAGCGGCGGACGACTGGAACGGTCTCAACAATGGCGTCTTCCTTCTCCGCGTCGGGCAATGGGCCATTGAGCTCTTCAGCGCCATCATGGCCTTCCGGCACTTCAGGCCCGGCACGGAGCTGCGGTTCACGGAGCAGAGCGCCATGGAGATCTTGATAGAGGAGAAGAGATTCAAAAAGGGGGTACGGATGGTGCATCAGACCTGGTTCAACTCGTATCCTGGCAGCCTCAAGGCGTCCACGTATCTCGAGGGAGATGACGAAAAGGGGCTCTCGGATTGGCAGACGAGACGCGGCGACTTTTTGATCCATTTTGCCGGGTTCGGCGAGGATGACCGCGCAAAGAGTATGAAAAGCTGGCTGGACATGTTGGGGACGACACACTTTACACTGGAAGCTGGGAGGGTGCAGAGAAATGTCACACCGGACATTGAAGCTTACTGGGAAGATCTAGAACCGGTAGAAAAGCAGTGAGCGCTGACTTGGGTTTGCCGAAAATTCAGAAATACAATAGCAACCTGTCAATTTGAACTTATTGAGTTGATCTGTGACACTTCGTTGAAGCCCGTCTGAGCGAGAGGTGGCACAACAGATTCATGCATAGCCACGGCTTACGGACCTAGCAAGGCGGGATAGATTTGCAACTGGAAGCTAGCATCCATAATCAGATGAAGCATGCTGTATTCCCCCCCCACCCCCCTCCCGTCCTTCAAGACTGATAGGTCTGTCGAGGCATCTCCATCGTAAGGTCAGACCAGACGACCAGTAATCCGACTGGCGGGATCGGATGAAAGATTTGAAATTCAGGTGGCATGGCAGCGGTCTCGACCGAGGGCAAGTCTGCAACGCTGCCTTACATACCAGGTACGTAACATCACGAGAAGTCGGTTCTATGAGAAAGCATATGTTCATTCAATGATCCTAGTGCAACTCCACCAGTCGATCTCATCCCGAGACCCTGACTGATGGCCAGAGAATAAACTATAAGTAACAAATAAGGTGACCATGGGCCACCTGTGGGCGATGTGCCACCAAAAATCAAGTCCTTTCCCCTGAAGATGAAACCCGACCGCCTGTCCTTTCAGGCTTTCCCGGTCCACGCCCATGTCCGCTGCTAGGGGCAGGTCGCTAAAAGTGGTAGAATAGGTATGTACACTTGACAGTGCAAGTAAAACACAAATAAGCAGGTTGTCCGTCGCCCGTCCTCGTTTAGCGACCTGGGCCGTGAAGTGAGTTCTTCAACAACTCGTACATTTCATTGTCGCCGGGAGAGTAACTATGGCCCGATATGTTAAGGGAGCCATGTTGCTGCTGGTATGCTTGGTTGGAGGTGCCGGACCCGCTGCCGTAGTTGGCGGAGGTGGTACCTTTCGTGGCATAGCCTCCAGAGACATTGGCTGGCGTGAAAGAAGTGTTAGATCCCGCGCCAAACCCATACCAATTGTGTTGGTCCGGTTGAGTTGATTGCTGCTGGGTCTGGTTTGCGTAAGATCCATACGATTGTGTTTGTTGCGGCTGCGCCTGTGACTGCTGCTGTTGCGGCTGCTGATTTGCGTTCCGAGAGGACGACCTTGGTTGAGTGCTGCTCGCTGCTGAACTTCGCATCTTAAACGATTGCAGAGAGGACGACTGCTGCTGAGTCGTCGACGGCTGTTGAGCGTAGGTATTAGCTGCCGTCGTGGTATTGGCATTATTGTATGATTGCGCGTTGCATGATTGAGATTGGTTGTTGTACAACTGTCCGGACCGCGCGTTGCTGCTGGATGTGTGCACAGCGGTGTTGGTTCTGTCGTAGTCATACGAAGGGTAAGTAGATGCTATTGCAGAGGTATTCTGCGCCGCGTAAGGCTGGTACGCAAGTCTTGTGGTGTCCAACTCTGTCGAGTTGTTGCTCTGGCTGGAGTACTTCGTATTGTAGTTGTTGTAGTTGGACACGTTGCTCAAGGATTGGGTATCATTGTCAGTTGCTGAGTCCATCGTCGCTGAAGTCGATGGTTGGACGGTATGATGGGAGGGTGTTGCACGGGGTTCATTGACGGGAGTACGAGTGGAGGCTTTTTGCCCAGCTCGACTCTTAGTTCGGGCTGCCTGAACAGGAGCCTGGAACGGCGAGACCTGGGCTGGGGTAACTGTTTGCGCTACTTGGGCTGCTTGCTGTGTCGGGGAAGGGCGATGCTGCCGTTGTTGCTGTGCAGCGACATGAGCCACAGCCTGTTGCGTATTGCGATAGGATGTCTCCTGACGAGCGACGGTGGTTGCAGCCGGCATCTGCGTCGACCTTCGTGGCCTGTGTTGCTTGGTCGTCATGGTAGGCGAGACTGTGTTCGCTGTCCTGGGAGGAGATATGCTCTGCCAGTTTTGTGCGTAATTGGGAAGCGGGACGGGGCTTTCAGCCGTAGACTGATGCGGCTGTCCTGGTCCGGATGGCAAGCTGCGCCGTGAAGAAGTCCTCGTCGCTCTCGGGCTCTTAGTCGCGGGTTGAGAGTAACTGAGACTCGACATGTTATCATTGTTGGCAGTTGTATAGCTGTTCACGTCTGTGCTCGGCTGAGTGTATGTTGCCGTGCCGGTAAGAGACGGCTGCGAAAAGCCCGTGGAGACTGCCTGCTGCTCCGCGTAATTTGTGGTGGCAGTAGGCTCGGGGTACGATGAGACGTCGTGTGACATGTTCATATCGTGGGAGGCGGAATTTGTATAAGTGAGTTCGTTTGGTCCGTCATTAAAGTAATCCTGACTAGGAGCCTGCGCAGCAGGAGTGAGCATGTTGGCAACTGGCATGTTTGAAGTGTAGTCGATCGTCTCAATGTCGTCTGGTTCTTGTTCTTCAACTTCCACCTCAGGCTCCGCCAGCTCGGCCTCGGCTTCAACTTCAGCCTCGGCGTCGTTATCGTCGTCATCGTCCTCAACTACAGCTGCGGACTTTTCTTCCTTTTTCTTTGCTGGCATTTTATTAATCAGGGGATATTGGCATTCCACGCCCAGCTCTTCACAGGAAGCGCACTCAGGTTTGACGCGATCGCACTGAAATACGTTAGTCTCTCTAGCTAGGCAGCTCAACGGAACACATTCACATACCTTGGTCTTTGCTCTTCTGCAAGCAATGCATCCACCTCTCGAAATCAGCTTCATCGGCGTGCCTGGAGGTGCCGGAATCAACTCCACTTCTTCCGCATCTTCAGCCGCCTTCGATTTTCGAGGCCGCTTCTTCTTCTTTCCTGAGGCCGGGGATTCCAACGTGGCTGTCGTGACATCAGCTTGCGCTGTTGCCTGCTGAGGAGTCAGCGATGCGCTAGTTGAGGACGCAGCGGCGTCGTTGGGATGAACAATGCGGAGTCGCTCAGCACCATACTTGACCAGCATGGTAAGAGACTCTTTCTGAAGATCGGGTGATTGATTTGCAAAGATACCGAACTGCTCCGTGGAGAGACTCTCGGGATCCAAGCCGCTGTCGCTGAGGAGTCTGATGGCGACCTCTCGGCGCCTAGCTGCTTCGCCGGGGGGCACATTCAGCACCGCATGTGAATGCACTCCACTTTGAACAGCGGCATCCGCCTTGGTCGGAACAGTGGTTGTTGCCTCGCCGTTGGTAGCATCGCCAGCTGCTTGTGCGTCCTTTGCGGCTTCCGACTTCTTCTTCCTCTTCTTCGGTTGAACAGGTGTCCCATCTGGATTCAGGGCCTCGCTCTTCCTCTTCGTCTTTAGCTTTGGCTCCACGGGCGTCCCGTCCGCATTCAAAGCTTCGCTTTTCCGCTTTCGCGGCGTTCTCGCCTTCTTGGACTTTTCTCCAGCGGGAATCAGAGGTGCTGGAGGTGCTGCCGGAGGAAGGGGTTTGAAGTGCTCAATCATCTCGCCGAGAGTCTTGTGAAGAGGCGTGTGTTCGTACTTGACGTTAATGGTTCGAGTATTCTTCGAAAACGCAACGGTGAGAGTCCCGCGACAGTCGAAAGCTGGTCGGGCTAGGAGGCTATTAGCAAACATTGCGAGCGCGCTTGCAAGCGCAATATCTTACCTTGCATGGCTGGCTCAAGCTCCTTCTGACTATACTCTCCTATGATAGTCTTATTGAGCGTCTTTTGGTGCTGCCGGTTCCAAGTGACGAGAGAGTCTTTGCAGTTGTAGGTGAAAGACCACCCGTACTGGCCGCGCGAAACCTCTCTAACGACCCATGTGCTCTCATCCACCACAGAAAGACGCCCAACAATATGCTTCGCTACAGCTCTCTGCATTACGGGGTTGTCGTGGGGCTGACTGATAATGGTGTCGTAGGCGCGTACAATCTTGACGGTTTGACCTTCAACGACCTGGGTTCGGAGACCGCTCAGCGCTGGGTCGATGTTCTCCTGCGCATCGCCGTCGCCATCGCGAATAGCGAATTCGAGGGTGGGCGGCACTTCGAGTGTGACGGAGAGATGTTCACATCGTGTGGGTGTCTTCTTTCGATCGAGTTCGCTACGGAGTTGGGTGGGTATGTCATCGGGATGCGCAATTGACGGCTTATTCCTTGACGCGCTTCCGTACGAAGGCGCGAGACCCAACAGGGCCTCAGCCATAGTAGACTGCGGCTCCCGTCTTTGATCCCTATGAATCGACGCGACGAGACCGCAAAGTCGCGTTTTCGCCGTTGGCGATTGTTGAGTTGTGACGCAACAATGTTGGAGAGAGCCGAGTGACGCTTTGGTTGGGGTCGTTGGCTGGCACAGAGTGCGCAAAGGCGCGGTTCCGCGTCCCTCGGAGGATTGGCGGGGGGTTGCGGGTACTGGGACACGGCATGGTGTGGCCATAGCGCTGCTTGGACTTGACCACTGACTACTTAACATTGGCGAAGCCAAAGGCATGGTTCCCGTATCCATCCAAACCCTAGTCGCTTCGTCGACTTCCATGTGGTGAGTATTTCCGATAGCAGTTGCCAACAACGGGCTATTTCCTGATACCGCCGCCATTGTTGTCCTGCTGCTGCCAATGGCAAGTGAAGTGGTTTGCGAAATATTCTTGCTAAAAGTATGCAAAAAAGCGAGGATTGTCAGAAGAGGAAAAAGTGACCCGTGAAGAAAAGGTCATGCGTGAGAATATTGAGGCGCGAAAGCTTCACGTTGGTGATGCGAGAACAAAGGTGTGAAGTAAAGTAGGCAGACAGATTGGCTCTCAGAAGTTGAAGTTGAGAATATTCGGGAGGATATCCCTCTGGGTTGCCTGAATGATCGTGCAGCCTCGCCTGCGAGGCTTCGATGCGGCAATGATTCACACCCTGCTCCTTCCTCGAGGCAACCACGACTGAGCTAACACGCGGCTGCCCTTCTGAGCAAGAAGCGGTTCAACGCACAGATGCTCCTCCTGGCAAAAAATATTGTCATGAACATATTGTTCGTCTCTGTTACATGCATCTAATTGCCTCATTACTTAGTCAATGCCGTGCGATCATGGGACTTGTCAAGGATATATGACAGATTTGGCCATGGGCGCATTCACATGAGAGC